GGTCGGTAACGAGAGAGGCAAGGACCCGGGGAACAAGAGGACGAGCGGCACAAAGGTAGTCAGACAGCGGGGGGGGTGCAACAACAAGGGAGGACGGAGGAGGCGACGGCAGAAGGGGAGGGCGAGACGCGTGGGAACGAAGCAACATAGGGTTGGAGCGCAAGACAGGGGAGGCAGGACGAGCACGGGAGGGACGATGAGACCAGACGTGCGACGGAGGAGTCGGGTCAGGAGACAGGGGAGGGGACACAGGAGGGGAACGAGGGGGAAGACGGGCGGGGGACGAGTCCGGCGGAGGGAACACAGGGCCGTAGACGGGAAGAGGAGGAGACGGGCGGAGAGGAACAGCCGCAGGGTCAGGGGACGGAAGGCCGAGCAGGCGAAGAGCGGACACCGGCAGGGACTGCTGCTCCGGCGGCAGAACGGCGACACCGGGACTGCAAGCTGCGTCGCGGCGACCACCGGCACACTCCACACCAGCACCCCCAGAGGAACCACCCCCAGAGCTACCGGTACTAGCACCCCCAAAGTCAGCGAACGGGTGCTGCGACGGCGGCGGCGGCGGCGGCAGCAACACCGACGGGTGCAGCGGCGGCAGAGGCGGTGGAGGAGGGGACTGTGGAGGGGACGCCGGTGGAGGGGCGGCCAGCGAGGACTGCGCAGCAGGGCCACCAGAGTCAGAAGACTCCTCAACCGGGTCCACCGACGGAAAGGGGGTGACGTGGGACACACCAGAGGGGGCAGGATGGGGAGGAGGAGGGGGAGGGGCAGGGACTACCTGGGAAGGAGTGACCAGGAACAGGGGGGGGGTAACCGGGGGACCGCGGTGGGGGAAGCGACGGTAGTAAGAGACGGACTCGTCAAAGGTGACGTCGCGAGAGTGAAAGAAACGGTGAGACGGCGGGTGGTAGAAGTGCCAGTCGGACGCGTCAAGGGGAAAACCAATGAAGACGCAGGGAAGGGTGCGGGCAGTGAGCTTGTCCGTGCCGGAGGCACGGACGTGAGCAAGGCAGCCCCAGACGTGAAACGCAGACGCGTCACCAGGAGACCCAGTCCAAAGACGGGTCGGCGAAACCTGCGGCTGCTGAGGGTGCGGCCACAAGTTAAGCTGGTGAGAAGCGTAGCGCACAGCGAACGGCCACAGAAAATGGGGTGCACCGGCATGGATCATGGAGGTGCGAGCCGCCTCCATGACCAAACCGATGCGTCGCTCAGCGACCCCATTCTGCTGTGGGGAGTCCGGTAGGGTGAACGTATTGGTGATGCCCTCCGCACGACAAAAGCGACCAAGGACACCGGAGGCAAACTCGCCACCACGGTCGGAGTGGAGACGCAAGACAGGGAGACCGCGGTGGACACGCACAGAGACAAGCCAGGGGATGAGGGCGCCAGGCCCGTCGGCCTTGCGCTCCAGGGGAAAGACTGTGGTGTAACGAGTAAAGTCGTCGACAAGCACAAGGAAGTAGCGCTCGCGACGCGGCCCAGGGACGGGGGCGGGGCCCCAGACGTCCAGGTGCAGGGTCTGCAGCGGCGCGGCGGTAGGGGGAAACGAGGAGGAGTGCGGGGCACGGCGAAGCCGACCCTCGACGCAAGGCGTGCAAGGTGGAGCTGGGGAGGAGGGAAACGCGGGGAGAGAACCTGGGAGACCAAGGACAAGACTGTGCTGGGACATGTGACGCAGACGCGGGAGCGCAGGGTGACCTAGGCGGTGGTGCCAAAGGAGAGTCGGGTGAGTGAGGGACCGACAGGAGCAGGCAGCAGCAACCTGGGTAGACGCAGCCACCTGAGGGAGCGCTCCAGCCGGGGGGGTCACGGTGTCCAGAGTGAACAGGCCGGACACCGGGTCCCGGGGGAACGTGGACAGGGGGGCACCTGTGTCGGCCTCGGTACAGACAGCATACCGCTCGTGGCCAGGGAACGTAGTGGTGACGCCGACACCAACTAGGTTCCTGGAGAACGAGAGGATATGCAGACCTGTGAGAGTGCCTGAAGGAACCGCCGGACAGGGAAGGGTGGTGGAACTGCGGGCGACTACCGGACCGCCGGAGGGGTCAGCAAGAGAAACGGCAGCAGGAACAGGAAGCGGCGTCAGGGTGGTGGAGTCGCGGAAGAAACACCGGGAAGCGCCAGAGTCCAAGGTGAAGGAAAGCGAAGCAAAGGCGTCTGGCGACGGAACAACGGCAGAAGTACCAAGACTACACAAAGCAGGGGATCCTACGCCTGACGCAGCAGGGGAGGCTAAGCTAGGCACACCTACACTAGCCGACAGTGAGCAATAAGCGGGAAGCACACTAGAGTCATCAGCATACATCACATGCAAAGCAGAAACAATGGCATCCATGTCCATGTCAAAAATCTGAATCTTACGACTAAGCAAACTGTGCCAGTCCGGAAGGTCTGGCGACGGGCCGAAGCGCTGACGAAACAGGTCGTCCAGGCGACGAAAACAGCGGGGAGTGGAGTGACCGATCTTACCGCAAACGAAGCCGCGGCGAGGACCGGTCTAGATCTGGTACTGACAACGCACGCCTCCAGAACCACCACTCGGCACACCACCACGCGCCCGACCACCGCCAGCGCCGGGCCACCCGGGCGGGAGTACACTCGGCTGCCTTGTCTGCGGCGGCTGCTGCGGGTGCTGCGACTGCGGCGGCTGCTGCGGCTGCTGCTGCTGCTGCGACTGCAGAGGCGGCGGCTCAGCTGGACTGGGCAGGGTCCCCTCGTCCGCTCCAGCACCAGACGACCCGACTCCACCACCACCCCCTCCCGCACCCCCGCCTCCTCCGCCGCGCCCAAACTTGGGGCGGCGGCCCTTCCCCGAACGAAACTGCGCTGCAGCAGCAGTCTCAGCCACAGCGGCAGAGCCGTCGGAGAAGGTACACTGAGCGGGGGCACAACCCTGAAAGATAGGGACCGGCACGGTACCACTCGCCTGGGCGATGGAGCGGTGGCAGGTCTCAATTACAGTCAGGGTGTCTACTAAGTCAGTGAGGGTGAGGTCTGCGGGGTGAATGCTAAGGAAGCGGTCGTGGGCAACAGCAAGGCGGTCAGGGAGGCGGGTGGCAAGCAGGTAAAGTGTAGAGGTAAAGGGCGGCTGGTGGGCTCTAAGCTGCGCGTTAGTGCAGGCAGCGCGCCAGGTGTCATCTATCGAGCGCAGGTGGGCAGCGAGGTCAGAGACAGTGGGGAAATACGCAAGGTCAGGAAAGAGCATCGGGAGGATCAGGCGACCCACCGAGGCAGCCGGAGGGGTGGAATAGCGCTTGATGACAGCATCTAAGTAAGCCTCAGCAGTAGTGAGAGACCTAAAGCGAGGGTGCTCGGACGGGGGAAGGGCGTTGCTAATGGCAAGCTGGGCGACAGCATCGCGAGAAAGCCAGACAGAGCGCGCACGGGCAGTGGCAGCAGTAGATTCGCGCTCGGTGGGTGTGGGGTCAGCGGGCAGAACAGCAGGGGGGTCTGGCCAGGGGAGCGTACCGTCAAGGTGTGTGGACAGCGGTTCACCATCCTGCCGCTGGCCGGTGAGTTGGCGTCGGAGGTCGGCAAGCCACGCCTCGAACTCCAGAGGCTGGCCTTCAGCGTCAAACCGAAGCTCCGCCGCCATCAGGGGCAGTGCAGGACAGGGCAGTACTGTGTAGTGCGATGCAAGGCGGTGCAGTGCTGTGCAGTGCAATGGAGGGCGGTGCAGGGCAGTGCAGGGCGGTGCAGGGCAGTGCAGGGAGGGGGGGAACCGTACCAGTGAGGATGCAAGGGCCGGGGCAGGGATGAGCGCAGAGGCCGGGCAGGTGCGGCTGGGCCGGGCGGGCACGGCAAGGCGAGGCAGGGCGCGACGGGGCCGGGCAGGGCGCAACTGGGGCCGGGCGGGTGCGACGGGGCCGGGCGGGTGCGACGGGGCCGGGCGGGTGCGACGGGGCCGGGCGGGTGCGACGTGGCCGGGCAGGGCGCGACGGGGCCGGGCGAGTGCGACGGGGGGCCGGGCGGGTGCGACGGGGCCGGGCCAGTGCGACGGGGCCGGGCAGGGCGCGACGGGGCCTGAAGGCGTGACGGGGCCCAGGAGGGGCGCTACGGGGCCCAGGAGGGCGCTACGAGGCCCAGGAGGGGCGCGACGGGGCCCAGGAGGGGCGCTACGGGGCCTAGGAGGGGCGCGACGGGGCCCAGGAGGGGCGCTACGGGGCCCAGAAGGGGCGCGACGGGGCCCAGGAGGGGCGCGACGGGGCCCAGGAGAGGCGCGACGGGGCCCAGGGGGGGCGCTACGGGGCCCAGGAGGGGCGCTACGGGGCCCAGGAGGGGCGCGACGGGGCCCAGGAGGGGCGCTACGGGGCCCAAGAGGGGCGCGACGGGGCCCAGGAGGGGCGCGGCAGGGCTAGGGGCACGAAGGGCCCAGGGGGGGTCGCGACGGGCCTAGGGGGTCGCGACGGGGCCCAGGGAGGCGCGACGGGGCTAGAGGGTCGCGACGGGGCCCAGGAGGGGCGCGGCAGGGCTAGGGGCACGACGGGGCCCAAGGGGGTCGGGGGGAGGCGCGGCGGGGCCTAGCTAGGGAACGAGCGGAAGCGGTAGGTGGGGGGGATCCTAACCTACGCGTGATACCATATCAGAATTAGAGAAGTGAATGATGGGTAGAGTGAGAGTACAGATAGATATACCTAAGTGTTGTACCCTCTAAGAGATGACCCTATACAGTCTATGCAAACATAACAAATACACATGTTTGACAGGAGGAGCCAAGGAATGGCGAGAGGTTTTAGGCTAGGAAAGTTGAGAGAAAAGAGGGAGAGATTAGAAGAGAGAGATAAAAGGAGGGAGTTGTACCCTCTACAGTGGGTTCCAGTAAGTAGCACAACTACCAAGCCTACAATTATATAAAATATATAATTTAACACGTGGCTCTTTTTCTGTTGTTTCTGCTTGATTGCCCCGCCAGCACTGCACTTCCCTCCACTCAAGTGACAGAACAAAACATTTATGAATCAATTATAGACACAGCAACAGCACCAATGAATGCAACATTTTCCAGCCATAACAGCTCTGCTCTGCTGGAACCACATCATGGTACTGTACCACTCTGCACCACTCTCTATCACGCACTACGGCTCTTCTCGTCAGCTCTGAGAGTGATATAAATCGCATGAAACCACATAAAGCTGCTGCAGCTTAACCACTAGATATCGTTCCACGAGTCCCCCCCAAGCACATCCTCCCACGACATCTCAGGCCCCTCTCCCATGTACACTCGGTGGGACTCGGCCTCTGGTTCGGGCTCCGGCTCTAGCAGCAGCCTCCCTGCGAATGCGTCCATGGGGCTCATTCCGAACTGGCCGTCTACACAGGACGACTCCCCAGGACCCTGCATGTCCAGCATGTTCTGGAAGGGGAAGCTGGGTGTGAAATCGGTGGCAGCCCTGCTGGCAGTGGTGCCGGCAGCGGTGTTGGGTAGGTGGTGTGGTGGTTCCGCAGGGGGAGGAGGGGGGGCAGTAGCAGGAGCAGGAGCAGGAATGGGAGCAGGAGTAGGAGTAGGAGCAGTCGTGGGAGTACCCCATGGCATTATGGGCATTTGTAGCGGCATGTATGTAGGTAAGGGGGAGAGTGGGGGGCTGAACCCAGTGTGCTGAGGTGCTGATTGAAAGGGAAGGTTCAAGTGACCTGGCTGGAAAAGAGGTTGCTTTGGTGACGACAATAGGTGAGACGATGAGGAGGAGAGTGTGGATTGGTGTAGAGGCAGAGAGAGGGGACTTCGGTGAAGCACGGAGTGGGTGGATTGGTGAGAAGGCTTCAAGAATGGCGCTGTGGAAAAAGGTTGCGGGGAGGATGGGAACACAGGAGCGGCAGCAGGAGCCGCAATGGGAGCAGTGAGGGGTGCTGCGGAGAGTGGTGAGGCGGAAGAGGAGGCAGCAAGTGAGCTGATCACATGCTGCATGGCTGCTGACGCTGTTGGTGATGACGACTCATGTGATGGCACGCGGGAGGGGGCATCGGAAAGGGGTTGCGACGGCGCTGGGACGTGTGGCCGGTGTGGCGGTGCAGGCAAGAGTAATGCTGGTGCTGCGCTTGATGCTCCTGGAGTCATCTCTCTCAACCGATTCGGCAGCCCCTGCTCTCTTTCTTGCTGCTGTGTCTGCTCCTCCTGTGTCCATTGCTGTTCGTTGCGCTCCTCTTGTGTCTCCCGTCCTTCAACCTGCAGCCTCTCCTGAGTCTGCCGCATCTCTTGCTGCTTCTCATGCTGCTTCTGTGTCAGAACCCACAGGTCAGGAGGGAGGGAGAGGAGGCGAGGGCCCTCACCCATGGCAGCAGCACCGCCAGAGCCGCTCCAAGTGCCACTGCCAGGCCCAGTGGTGGGAATTTTGCCCATCTCCACTGGTCTTGCGTACGGGACAGAGAAGACAGGGGATTTCCCACCTCCCGCTGCGTTTTCACCTGCTTCCGCACCAGGGCCTGCTGGCTTATCTACTATGCCTGCTCCCGCTCCTGCTGCTGCTCCGGCTGCCCCTGCTCCTGCTGCTCCTTCTACACCTGATGCTGCTCCTGCTACCCCCGCTCTTCCTGCTGTTGCCGAACTGGCTAGCAAGAGCTTTGACTGGGTGTTGGGCACAGGCAAGGCCGGTGGAAAAGGCGCCGCGCCAGGGAACCGGGCGAAAGAAGATGCAGAATCCGTGGCTGAAGTGGACGAAAAAGGGGACGGAGACCGATATTGAGGAGGGAAATGGGGCGGAGGAAGGGACGGTCTGCACGAGGAGGAGGCTCGCAGGGCGAAGGAGGGGATGGTGAGAAGGCGCGGCCTTGTGTGGCCCGGTTCAGGCTGCCGCCACACTGCATTGTGTTGGTGGTGGTGATTGTGA